GTGTTAGATGGAAGACACATCAGGGTTGGCGGACGACTTCGCCAAGCAGACATTCCAGTGGAAGCGAAGTACCAGATCTTGCTGCCTGATGATCATCCAGTGACTTATCTACTCCTGGAGGACCAGCACATTAAGACTGCTCACGATGGACAGGAACACATGATAGCATGTGTAAGACAGCTATACTGGCCTTTGAAGGTGAGGAAATTGACCAAGTGTGCTATCAATGCTTGTCTTCAATATCGTAGGGGACGTATGAAGCCAACAGTAACGAAGATGGCTGACCTACCAGCCTATCAAGTCAGCGCAGTTAAGGGAGTCTTCTGTTATACAGGGATTGATTACTTTGGACCCTTGAATGTGAAGGTGTGCAGAAGTACAATCAAGCGATGGGGATGTCTATTTACCTGCCTCTCCACTAGGGCAGAACACATCGAACTTGCTGACTCACATCAGCAGATGACTTCATATTGGTACTTCGAAGATTCATAGCACGACGAGGCAATCCTAAGTATTTCTACAGCAACAATGGCACCAACTTCTATGGTGCTAAGAGTGAACTCACTCAGTGCCTGCAAAACCTTAGCCAAACAAACATTACTAACTGCCTTGTTCCTCGCAAATTGAGTGGCTTTCAACCCGCCTTTGAGACCCTACTTCGGTGGTGCGTGGGAAAGGTTAATTCGCTCACTGAAGGTCGCTCTCAAAGCAGTGTTCAACAAACAGATCGTTCAAGAGACTGTTCTACTTGTTTTGTTAGCTGAAGTTGAAGCAGTTCTCAACAGTCGTCCACTGACGTACAACAGTACTGACTCCAACGACTTCACAGCACTCCTCATGGGAGAGCAGATTCATGCCAAACACCTGACCAGTTCCTTGCAAAGGAAATAGATAGTCGGAGAAAATGGCGCCAATCCCATGTTCTCGCAGATCATGTCTGTAAACGTTGGCAAAAGGAATACTTGCCAAATCTAACTGTCAGACATCGTTGGAGAAATCAGACGTGAAACGTATCAGTAAGGGATCTCGTCCTGATGGCTGATGAGGCTAAGTCAAGAGGCCAATGGTACTTGGCAAGAATAATCGAGATATTCCCTTGCGACAACTGTGAACTAGAGGAGGCCCAGTGGACAATACATGCTGAGAAAGTGTGCATGCTGGAAGAGTCATGCAGTAACTCCCATGTGTGACACAAAACTCTAATGTGCATGACCTATTCACCATTGCGTTACCCTACCCACTTGACTCTGTTAGGGGGGTGGCTATGTTGGATAGTTCTCATGATTTGCCAGTTTTGAAGAGTCTCACTATTAGTAGTGGTATGCTATGAATATATATGCTCACGCCATTCAAGGACGAGTAACACTGTGCAAAACTACAGGTGATTGTCACGTGAGCTACGTCTTTGGAACAAGTAAGCCTAATCAAAGAATTGAGTGTTGATGGGGCATTCTGAAAAGACAGAACATAGTTTTGGGTAAACCTGTTTGAAGAGATGAAAGCTGACGGGCATTTCACAGGAGGCATGCTGGACAAAAGTTTGATATATGTGATATGATATTCATCCTCTTACGATAAGACATTGGAAATGTGTATCTTTTATCTGACTAATTTGGTAATAAATGTAACGTGACAAAATCCATGATGGTTACTATACTGAGTCAAAAAAGAAACTTCACAAAATGTAATCTGATTATGATACATCTATGTATCCGAAATGGGATCCCTATCTTTCGACTCTAGAAAAACGTTAGCAAAACCCACTCAAACCCATCCATTCGTCGTGCAAATGACGTTAGAGCCAAATCAGGTTTTGCACGTGCAGTCGATCACGTGAGCTTCGCATCGAAGTTTTCTTCATATGCACGTGTTTGCATTGGCCTCAAGAATTGAAAAAACACTTTTAAACCACAGTTCTAACGGTACTTGAAATGCCACGATTGTTAAATGTGCAACGTGAATGTGCCGTTGGCATGTTGCAAGCGGGAAGATCAGTTATTGACGTCGCAAGAGCAATGGGATGCCGCTGTCGTACTGTGTATGACTTGCGCAGGTCGTCTACAACAAACTGGCACCACTTCTGATCGCCCAAAGGTCGAGGTCGCCCCCGCGTGTGACGTCAGGAGCAGAAGACTGTCAAATCGTCCTACGTCACCTACGTGACAGATTTCTGCCGGCTACACGAACCAGGGCTGAGATGTTTAGAGGTCGACTGTCCTCACAGACCATTCGAAATCGGTTGCCGGCTGCCAATCTCCATTCTCGATGTCCATATCGTGGGCCAATATTGACGCCGTTTCATCAACGTCAACGTCTGCTGTGGGCCCAACGTCACTTCCAGAGAGACTAGAATCGAGTCGTCTTTAGCGATGAATCCAGGTTTACCCTCAGATTCTCGGACGGCAGGCAAAGAGTCTGGAGACGACGTCATGAACGGTATGCCCAATGTTGTGTACAGGAAGTCGACAGATTCGGGGGCGGAAGTTGCATGGTAGGGGGTGCTTTCTGTGGGAACAACCGTTCCTGACTTCTGGTCATCCGTGGAAACCTCACAGCTGCTGCTTACCGCGACCAGGTGCTCACCCCTGAACTCGTTCCTTTCATGGCGGCTCATGGCCCAGGTCTACAGTTCCAGCATGATAATGCTCGGCCGCATACCGCGATGTTGACACGAAATTTCCTTCAAAACGCTGGAATCAACGTCATGGACTGGCCATCGAGGTCCCCTGACCTTAATCCAAAGGAGCACGTTTGGGATGCACTTGGGAGAAGGTTTCGTGGTCTTAGGAACCAACCTCAGAATTTGCAGGAACTTGGCGCTGCCTTGCAAGAGCAATGGCGCAGAATCCCCAACCACGTGTTCACAAGCATCAGGCAGTCGATGAGGAGACGGTGTTTGGCAGTGGTGAATGCACGGGGCGGCCATACACGATATTGAACTGAGAAATTTCGCATTTTTATTCTTGTGACTTGACATTCTGTATACCCATGTTTTGGAACGGCGGTGTAGCCTAATGGAACTGATTATGGCACTGTCAGTGTATCGAGTACATCACACAGATCTCAGTAATAAAATAATAACAATTTAACCATCTTACCTTCTCTTGTTCTATTATAGTGCCCTGAAGAAAGAATGTGAATTTTCTTTTTTGACTCAGTATATATGCAAATGGTTATTGCCCTTGAACCGCCATGTGCTGTTGACAATCACGAAGAAAAACTGGCTGACAAGTTTGAAACACCGTGACTGTGACTGAGTGCAAACTCAAAATTAGCGCATCATAGCATGAATCAAGCCCTAGCTAGCCTGCCAATATGTCAGTCTTGTATTTCTCGTAATATCAGCCATCAGAAATAAACTCCAGTTTTACAGCCTCAATTTGTCATGGTCTCTCACGAACAGATGACATTGAGCTCCTTACCAAAGATGATACAGTTTGAGAGAACATCTTCTCCCGACACTTACCACTCGCAATCACCTCATGTGATTCTTAAAGAAAATGTAAACATGAAATGTTGACCGCGTAATGAATTCACAGAGACTATCCAACACTTAATCAGTGGATGCTCGTCCTTGGAACAAACAGCATGATGGAATGGCTTGTTGCTTTTATTATGGTCTTTGCAATGCCTGTGCCATGGCACAAGCCAGGGCATCATAGAAAATTATGCATTTATACTTCTTTGGAATAGTCCCATACATAGCCGCCTCCGTCGTGCTGTGGTTAGAGGATCCGACCGGAGAGCGGAAGGTCGCGGGTTCGATCCCCGACCTCGTCATACCAAATGACGTTAAAATATGGTACTTGTTGGTCCCTGCCTGGCGCTCGGCATTAATGGGTACAACAAGGAATGGTCGGCTCGGAGTCAGCATTATGTGTCTGAGTGGGGTATTCATGCTTCACTGCGGCATGGTATCTCAGTGGGCTAGCACTATAAAACCAGCTTCAGTCTGGGCTAGTACAAGCAGCCGCACATACACATACACACGCATGCACGTTGTCATATGAGCGAAATATTCTCAACCACGACGTTAAACCCAATTTCAACTCACCTCACCCCATACACAGCCTCAGAATCATTGCTGTCAACAAACTGGATCTTGTCCTTTCTGATTAAACTCTTTAATTCATGTTTATGGCAAGATTCAGGAAAAACGTTATATTTGCGGGCCTCGCCTTTGAAATGTCCCGCTTTCATCCCAAGGACACTGTCATCAGGCTCTCCATAACCCTTGGTGCCTTTGGTTTGGTACCTCCTGATCTCTTGGAGAAGATAAGAAGAGTGTCTGGGTTCTCCACAAGGTCGCAGCCCTTCAGGCATTCTGGAATAATGGTGAAGGCTGCAGTCTTAGGGAGTCCACATATTCACCAGAAAGTTCTTGGTGGGTTTGACCAGGTAGCGCATCCTTGGGAGAAGTCCCATTCCTTATGGGAGCTGCATATAGTGGGAGCCAAGGGTACCATGCTTAATCTGAAATGAGTAGTGGGCATTGCAACACACCTTCTAATGGTATGTGATGTTACATGGCCATGAGGATGTTGTCTGCAAATATTTCTTTTTGTCATTTGAGTTATAAAAAAAATCTACTTGCATATGTACTTACAAAGAGACTCTTTGTTGGAAAATTTATCATATCGTCTGCTCTAAATGTATTACCGCGCAGACGTTATTATATAGCGTGTGCATGTAATACTGATGCCTCATTTGGTGTCCAAGCCATTTAAAACCATGTCGGTGTCACATGAATCAAATGGCCGTCAACAAGGTAAATAGGTGATTAAAGTGAACTTTCCTTTTGCTTTTTATGTGCTCACAATACAATATTATGTGAATACACTCTCTTGTAGCAGTAGACAGTAGCAACAAGGTAATCGTAACTCATACCGCTACCATTACATCTTACAAGTGGACATTGTACAGTACACAGGACTTCAGTTATATACCTACTTGTACTCACCTGTGAGTAAAAGTCTTAACAAAACGAAACAAATTTTCAGATGACAGGCTGTGGGAATTTCTATAGGAGCGAGATATTGCAGAAGAAGTTATTGAGTAAATGAAACAGAAAAATAGGAGCTGATACGGTAAATTTTAGACAGTTAAATTGAAGCACTAAAATTGGTTAGCTAAAGTATACACAGCAGCAAAAAAACGTCAGTATGAATTCACAATTAGACACATTGGTCTGATTAACGCTGGCCACGTCGTCGCCATATTCTTGTTCTGCAATCTGCAGTTGATACGCAGTACCGACTCTCATCTGTGAACAGAACAGTTCTCCATTGCCTGTATCGCCAGTGTTGGTGTTGTAGGGCGACGTTCATGCCGATGACGAGGGGTGAGGATAGTTCCACAGTAAGGTCTACGGCAATGGAGGTTCCCGCTGTTAAGAAGTTGGCATACTGTATCAGTACTGATTGGTCTTCCGTGTGTTCCCACTGTCTGGCGTGCTGTTTCGGATGCCTGCATGAAGGGATTCTGTACATGCTGTCGCACAACATGGCGGTCTTGTCGTCTTGTGGTCACCCTTTGTCTGCCAGTACGGAGGCGATCATTTGTGGTGGTGGTGGTCCTGAAACGTTGCTGCAGCCTGTAGATGGTCTGAACGTTGACCTGGAAGTTATTGACAGTGGCTTTTGAAGTGTGGCCAGCTTCCAGTGTTCCTAGCGCCTAGTTCCTCTGTGCTGTCGTGAGTCACGGCATCCTGCTGATGTTGTAATGTGAATGTTTCAACCAGGTTTAGGATGCATTTTATGGGGCTGGTCCTTGTGAACAGCACGTGCAGCATGAGTTGCATGAAAAACCATCTCAGAGGTCAGGTTGCGTTTTTGAGACCATTTCCTCTGTTCAATTCTGAGTTTGGGAAGGAATGTCTTTGCTCAGGTAAAGATGGAGATGTCAAAAATATACAATCAAAACATTAAATGAGTTGACAGTTATCCGTTTCTGCGAAGGAAAATTCCAAACTGACGTTTCTTTTGCTGCTTAGTATATGTGTTATGCATATCTGTTATCACCGTTTAGTTATGTGTGTTATAGTCACTAATCCAGGTTGGACCTACATTAACATTTTGACCGACTTTATGTAGCTGCTGTGCATCAGCTGGAGATTCATAAAGTGGCGTTTGAAATCCCATCCTGTATGTTCTTGAAATCACCAATCATCATGGGGAAGAGAGTTTTGATGTCAGGACAGCGATGCAACTACTGATAGGAAATAGGCATTATTGTAACCTTTTCACCATGTACTGTTACCATCTTAGACTCATCGAGAGAGCCTGTGCAATTTGAGATATACACATTTGCCATTTAGTGCCAAATCTGTGGGTACATTCAAACAAAAGTATCCAAAGTATTTAATTCTTACAGGTACAGACCAAATTACATTGATTATTGAACAATGATCATTGGTAAATTCTTGTTTGTTGTTACATTGAACTAACTTAAAATTTCAGATTGATGGCAAAGTGTTGCTCTTAATGAGTGACGAGGATCTTTCACAACATTTACCTCTGTATGGTGATAGATTGGCGGAGAAAAACTGTTGTTATCGTCAAAGTGGGACAAGTGTCAAAAGTAAATTATTAAACAAGAGACTACACACGTGGATACCAGACTCTGGCAGTGAAAGTGAGAGTGGTGTAGACAGACAGCATCTAAAAGTAAATGGTTTGGAAACAGAAGTGATACAAAGTCGATGAGACGAATTGAGCTTGGATGGTTACATTTAGATGAGAAAACTGAGACCTATAAGCAGGTTCGTTCTGTAGACAATAGGACTACGATCGGAGAAGTGAGACAACGGGCAATAGATTTGTTCTTTCATGAGAGAAACCAAAGAGAGGCTCTTTGATAGATTTTAATTTTGGTATCAGAGACTTTAAGAAGCTGACCCAACTGCAACTATTGAACGATTGTATGAGCAAAGCAAAATGCGAATACTGCGCCTCTATTTCACCACTAGTCAAAGAGACCAGTTCATCAGACGAACTGCCACACGTGAAACTGAAGAGGAGAGAGTCAAACACAAGACAAGATAAAAGAACAGATTGTGCAGAAAATGTGCCATAGGTGGGAACTAAAATAATTCCAGACTTTACAAGTGTTTAGGGCAGTGACAGTTTTGAAGGGATAGCATGTGGTTCCACTGCAGTAGATACCTTGCCTGATCTTCAACACACCAAATGAAAGAGACACAAACTTCGGATGGCAATTGAGATCCCATTGAGTGAGTGACTTAGGTTATACGCCGCCCTTAGCAATATTCCAGCAATATCACAGCGGTGGACACCAGAAATGGACTGCATGCATTTTGTTTATGTGGGGAATCGAACGCGGGTTGTAGAATTCAAAGTAGGGACGAAATCTTGAACTCAGTTCATTGTTTTATTCCATATTTTTCTTCCGCACTTTATGGGCAGACATTAATGGATTCCATACTTTTCTACACTTTAGGCGGCAGAATAGTTTGCACAAACTTTTACACAAAAAGCTGATTTTAAACAAAGGATGTATAAAAAAATATATATAAAAAAATTGGCTGAAATTAGATTAACAGTGAATATTGCAAGGTAATAAAATCTCTAAGCAGAAACTCAAGAAGCCATTCATAAGATCACTTCCAAGAGCCCACTCAAAAACGTACAACAAATATTTGAAATCTAACATTACCGTCCCTTACATGTAGAACATTTAACAAAAACAGACTGATTCAAAGATAGTAAATTTTTCATATGAGGTTTTTCACACTAGTCACTGCATTCACATTCCATTAACTTCATTGTTCATGATATTCACAGTCCATTATTTTCACAGACATTATTTTCATTGTCATTTCACAGTCCGTTATCCTCAAGGACAGATTCCAGCACCCGTGAAGGTCCGGGTTAGAATGAACCTTCAGTAACCCATGCTTGTCGCAAGAAGCGACTAACGGGATCGTGTGGTCAGGCTCGCTGGCTTGGTTGACACATGTCATCAGTTTCCAATTGCGCAGATCGATGCTCATGCTGTTGATCACTGGATTGTCTGGTCCAGACTCGATTATTTACAGACCGCTGCCATATAGCTGAAATATTGCGGCGTAAAACTAAACTCACTCACTCACTCACAGATTCCAGCAAACACAGTTTATGTATGTTTAGTGTTCTTGGGTCACTTCCTGGTTCCAAGCTTTTATAGATTCTCTTGGCTCCTTTTGTGCACCCTGAAAGTTTGTTCCATTATCTGAGCGAATCAGTTCGGGAGTTCCTCTTCGGGCTTCAAAGTGCTTAAAAGCATTGATGAAGGAATCTGTACTAATGCTGTCGAGCTTCTCTAAGTGGATTGCCCTATTTGTTAAACGTGTGAATACACATCCATATCTTTTAAAAAGTGCGCCCTCTTTTTATCATGAACGGTCCGAAACAATCCACCCCAACATGAGAGAATGGAGGTTTGCCTGGTGTTACTCAGTCTTTAGGCTGATGAGACATTTTTTATAACAAATGCTTACCTTGCAACCTCTTAGACTGGGAACAATCTCTCAAAGTTTTCCTTTATTGTACTCTGGGTGTTTATCAACCAAAACATTGTCCCTATATGTGCGAGAACATATTCTGTGCCAGAGAGTCCTAGCTGTTCATGACAGTTGCGAACATAGAGTGTTGCAATAGAATGTTGTTTCGGCAAGATCATTGGATGTTGTGACTCCTCTGGAATAGGTTCTTTAACCAACTTTCCTCCGACACACAGGATACCATCTTGGTTGAGCAATGGTTCCAGCGGATGGATAGGAATGGACCTTTTCACTACTCAGTCCAAAGCACTGTCCTTTCTATCTCCATGTGCAATTCCTTGCGCAACAGCTCATCAGGTCTTACCGCGAGAACTGCTGCACACAGTTCAAGACGGGGAATCGTGAAGCTCTTGATTGGGGACAATCGGGACTTTGACATTAGAAATGAATACCATACCTGCCCTTTGGTATTCCTCATTCACATGTATGCCACAGCTCCATAACCTACGCTTGAGGCATCTGCAAAAATTTGCAGTTCAAAAGGGACTGCTTGATCAAAGCCCTCTGGAGCAACATATCTTGGTATGGAAAAGCCCTCATTGAGATTCAAATCTAATAGCCATTTCGTCAGTCTTTCATTGTTCTCTGGTTCTATTTCAGCATCCCATCCCTTGCAGAATCTACACTCATCTTGAAAGATTCGTTTGGAATCCAAATCAATGGAACGAGGAATCCCAGTGGATCTTATATGGATGAGATGACACTTATCAGTCCTCTCTTGGTGAATGGCTTGGTCTTCTGAATGAACCTGAAGCAGAGTTCATCTGTTTCTGTGTCCCATTTAACTCCAAGAGCCTTGTCCTGTGGGAGATCACTGGTACACAGATCAATATCTTTCAGGTTCTTGGCTTGCTCTTCTTTGGGAACAGTACTCAACACTGTTCTGCTGTCACTCAACCACTTGGTGAGTCTAAAAGATCCTCTTTGCATCAGTTCACACAATTCTTATGTGGTTGATTGCTTGAAATCTGTCAAACCTGAGCAGGAAGGAATCAAGTTGATCCAGAATCTTTATCGAAGTCTTTGATGTTGTCCATAGCGACTTTCTGCAGTTAGTAGTTAGTGCAGCTCAAGCTCCATATTCCCCCACAGGTGTGATGTCATTTGGTAGATTTCCGCTTCTCCTCAAAGTATTTGGTCCTTCCACCACAGAAACCTCAAGGGGTCACGATGATGATCGACCACTTTCACTCGGTGATACTTTGACTTAATGTCACCAGATACAGCAATTTGTACTGCCTGAACCTCAAAAGAACTCCAAGTAAGGAGTTAGTCAGGTCCGGTCCTTGGTAAACTGACTTGTTCAAGCTTGTCTCACAGTAGGAGCAAAAGCAATCCTGAACTTTCATGGTTTGTTATCGTTGATGACAACGTGGTGTGGGAGATACAAGACGTAGATCTGTTGTAAATGTCGATTTTTTCAGCTGGAACCTTTTCAGCGTAACCCCTGTGTAGTATGTCGTTGATGCCTGTTTTGTAACCTTGAGACAATTCTTCGTCTCAAATTAACTTTCTGGTGAATGATTGTAGCCAGGCCACAGGCCCTTTATGCACTGGAGTTGTTAGGCAATTAGGGAGGGCTTGATCACCTGAAAGTAATTGGCAGTTTGTATTGTTTATCCCACAGCTTGATGACCTGTTTGTCGTGAAAGGATAGTGGTACGTCTTCGAAGATTTAGATGCCCAAATCTCTCCACTTGCGCTTCAAGATTCTCCTGTATGAAGTTGGCAGTGACATATTTTGGTGAGCCTTTTTGAAGGGGTCCATTTATTGCCCACCCTAGCATGGTTCCTGTAGCGTATGGCGGGTTAGCTTTACCCGTCCGAATGTCTGACGTGCTGTTGGATTGTCTTAAGTACTGTTACCTTTGCTAGAGGTCCGTCAATAATTGGTAGGTCAATCCCACAAAAATGACTCTCTGTGTGATTACACTTCCTTCCAGTAACGGCGCCTGTGGCAGCATGAATATTTTTGACATGTTGATAGAATTCTTTCCCTTTACATCCGTAAATTCAAACAAGACAACTTGGGTTTGTGATTCACTATTTTTGTCTGTCAGTGTGTTTAGTGATAGCATTGCAGTATTTTCCTCTAGACATAAATAGTTGGCCAGCTCCTCAGAACAAAAACTATTTGTCCTTCCTGGATCCAGAAACGCGAACGTCTTTACAATGTTATTGTGGCCCTTCACACAGACAGGAGCTATCGGTTAGGCTATTCTTGTACCTACTAGCTTCATATGCGGATCCTTTCACAAACGAGTTCTCAATTTTACCCTATTCACTTGATTGTGGATGACTGCCCAGTCTTGTAGGCGAAGTGGTGGTCGAACACTCACAAGGCTTCATATAGGCTCTTGCATGGTCAAGCAAGTTGTAATGTCTTTTCCCTTGTTGAATCTACAAAGTCCTTCACGGTGACTCCAAACCCTGGATCATCTAATTCTTCAGCGACATTCTCGATTAGCCTGGCTAAGTGCTCAATCCCAGGATCCTGTATGTCTCAACACACTCACGGCTTCTTTCCACAGCTTTTTTGAAGGTACATAAGCATCTTGTCCATAATTTTCCTCATCCTTAGCTGATTGTCAATATCACTCACCTTGCCCATAACTGATAATGAGGCAACACAACTTCTAATTGAGTCTGCATACTTCCGCATACTCATGCTGTCATTAGGTTTCAAGTTTGGCTTGTCAATTCATGCTTTTGTGATAATATGATTGTTGCCAAATTGATCGAGAAGAAGTTGTCTCGCTTGTTTATAGCCATGGCCATGGTTCCTAATCAAGCAACATTCCAATACCTCTTTTGCGTGTCCTTCACAGTATTGCACGAGACGATTTGATTTAGTACTATTGGTGATGGAGGTTTGACAAATGCTTTTATTGAAAGATCTGACAAAAGCCCAATATTTGAGAGGATTGCCATCAAATCTCATTATTTCAGCCTTTGGCAATTGTAGCATTTGCAGCGCGTCATATGTCTCAAATCACATTGACTTGCCCTTCGCCAGTAGGAAGC